TTTGACCTTGGGGGGCCGGGGTGGGTGTGGCCAGGGTGGGTGTGGCCAGCTCTATGTCACTCGTGTCAGGGGCGTCTGTGGCGGCCTGAGCGCTCTGCAGGGGTGGGATTCAATTTTTTTAACAACTGGTTCTGTGGGCATGGCTTGGTGGGTGTGGCTTGGTGGTCATGTGACTGGGTGGACATGGCTTGGTGGTCATGTTATTGGCTGAGCGTGGCCAACTCAACATCACTCACATCAAGGCATGCATCTCCTCGCCTTGCCTCTCATGACTGTGGGGATGCTGCAACAGTCATAAGTGTGAAAAATGATCATAAGTCACTTTTTTCAGTGCCGTTGTAACTTTGAATGGTCACTCCACACAAGCAAAGTACCAGCAAAGGAGGGGAAAAAACTCCAGAGACGTTCCTGAGACAGGAAGTCTAGTCCTGCCAAGAATGTAATAAGGGTTAACAGAGAGGCAGTTTCTGTAAGCAACACCAGAATGTTTCCTTCCTGCCTTCCTTACAGGATTAGGCCAGTAATTTCTTCTAACAACCAGTTCTCCAAACTGTTTAGAATGTTAACAACTGGTTCTAGCAAATAGATGCGAACTGGTAGAATCCCACCCCTGGCACTCAGCCAGAAAACACAGAGCTCAGGAGAGCTGTGTGCAGCCCTTCCAAGCTCCATTTTCGCCTGCAGAGGCACTGCAAGCCAGTCCTTCGCTATTTCCAGGGCAGCCCCGCGGCCCAAATCTAAGCACCCTGCAGGCCAAATCCAACCCGTGCGCCCTGAGTTTGACACCCAGCCTGCACTAGAGGAAAGGCAGATATTTGCAAGACTATATTTTAGGTCAAAACAGATAACACTGACAATGTAACCAACCAACCCCCCCGCCACCCCATAACATAACACATGGCTGCTAAATGGCAGAGAGATTGTGTTCATGTGGGGCCCTCTGTCACTCATGACCATGAGTATTTATGAGTAGGTAAGCAGAGACACCCAAGGACTGTGCTCTCTTTTTCCTCTGTGGGTTCACTGCTTCCTCCATGCTAAGTAAGGCTGCATGGATGGGATAACTTAGGGAAGTTACGGTAGGATAAGAACTTCTGATTTTCTCAAAGTGGAGCCATGTGTCAGCCTTACCACAACACAAGCAGAAAATGAGAGGTTTCTTTCAGCATGTTGGGAGCAGCAGAAGGGGCTCCTGTAGACTTCCCCCCCCCCCCCAGAATTCCTCAAAGGGGTCAATGCAGGTTAAGTTAAAGCTTCACTGACTTCATCCTCATCCAGCTTGGATTGTGTTGTCATTGATTTTTAAGATTTTGATAGGCTCTTGCATCCATCTGTTCATAAACCTCTCTTAGATTCCATGAATAAAGCTCCAAGCATAGACGATCCTTTTTGTGCCTGGAACAACCAACCAAGGACCCAGAAGCAATGTATGTGAATATGTTGCAATACCATTTGCATCCTATAAAGACATTAGATACACATGAGCTAAATCTTATATACACTGAAGTGGTAGAACTGAGAATCCATTTGATTCATGTGTGTGTGTGTGTGTGTGTGTGTGTGTGTGTGTGTGTGTGTGTGTACAGATACACACACACACACACACACATGTGAATGTTGCTCATTCACTTTTAGCTCTTGCCTGCCACCGCATGTTTCAGCTTTAGCCACCTGTCATAGGTGATACAGCTCTTAGTACATTATTCCTATAGGAATGCAGTAAAAGGAATAAATAAAAAGTAGTAATATTTGATACAGCAGGTATTTCCCAAGGTGGAAGGACAGTGCAATTGCCTTGCTTCTCTTCTGTTCGTCCTAAAACAGAACGTTTGTCTCAAAATCCTGCCCTCACCAGGAAACTGCTAGAAGTCAAGACAATAAACAACATATATGAGAATAAAGTAAGAGAAGGTTTGGAATGATTATAGCCTGTTCTTTGGTTCTACTTTCACATTTTTAACCCCATAGCTTGTTACAAATAAAAATACAGAACACAGTATCATATTACAAATATTCAAATAATAAAAATGCAAAAATAGAAATCTATCTGATGAGTGACTGTTTTAATGACTTCTGTTTTAATCTGGACTCTTCAATCAAGAGATTCAGTTAAACTGCAACTGGCTGGATTCATGTAACATACTAAACCATGGGTCATAATGCATAAATCATGGTTTACAAGTGGTTCTCCATGAGCATGTAGCATGTTATGCTTTAACGTGATAAATAACTGAGTTTGAGGCCAATGTTTGCAGCTGTTTTAAAATGGACCTGTACCTGGGTAATTTTATTAAGATTGGTCTGATCAAGACTTGGAACTTTGCTCTCCCCTATTCTGCTGTGGTTTAGTTCAGGTGTCCCCAACCTTTCCAGCTTGGCAGCCCGGCCAGGTGTGACGAGGTGTGTGTGAGTGGCAGGCACATGTGCCTACGCACAGCTCCATGGAGTTTGTGTGAGCAGCAGGCACTTCTGCTCCCATGTGAAGCTCCATACAAGTGGA